GCAGCAGTGAGCTGTGCTGTGAGCTGTAGCTCTGAGGGGCTTCTCCAGGCAGAGCTGAGGCCCGGGCAAGGGGAGCCACAGCTCATAGCACTCGAAGGAGACAGCAGCCAGGGCACTAGGCAGTCGCCTCATTTCTGGTCCATGTCCCCTTGGTAGCACACACACTTTCTCGGCTCAGGAGTCCCCGATTCAAGCTATGGAGGGGGAGACCCGAGCATCCACTCGTTCTGTGAATTTCCAGTGACTGCTGAATCCTGTCTTTCTCAGCTCAGTGTCCCAGCAGAAAATTCTAACAACACTTAAAGAAAAACAATGAAAAGAAAGATTCCCGGGGCCCTGATAACCTGGGTGAGCCCCTCTGCTGCCCCGTGGCCCCCAGACTTCAGCCTGCAGTGAACGGATGGGCCCCTGGCACTCTGCTGAGGCTGGTGCTGTTCCCAGCATGGAGGCCTTCGGGAGCAGCAGGTCAAAGTGAGTCCCACATGTGAGTCAGGGCCTGTGGACTTGAGCGGCAGGAATTCAGCCACAGTGTTGGGGCTGGACAGAGGGAGCAGAAGATGGGAGCGGAGAAAGAGAGAATGAATGGCCGCTGACCAGGGGGACGATGCCCAGGCAGACAGTAGATCAATTCTCACCTCTGGCACTGGCCTCCAGTGGGCCTATCAGGCACCTGTTCAAACCCCTGCAAACACCATATCCCCCTCTGGGCTGTGAGTCCTGTCACTCAGATTTCGCAGTGGGGCTCAGACAGTGTGAGAGGTTTTCATCCCTGTAGGAAGGGAAATGCTGTTTTATTAGCGAGTCTGGCACATGCTGCCTTGTCTGTGTGTGTGTGTGTGTGTGTGTGTGTGTGTGTGTGTGTGTGTGTGTGTGTTTGAATCCCTTGGCTGCCTCAGGACAGCCTCAGACCCAACCCTAGAGACTGGAGCTTCCAGCTCACATCACCCCTTGCTCGGCTGTGAGATGTGGTCACGCCAGCAGGAGAAGCCTGCTCCGTCCTGGGTGTTCGTCCTGCTGGGACCCTCTGTGCTTCCAGAGGCCAGGGCTGGCGTAGAAGGGCCTGGAAAGAGGGGAGGAGAGAGATGGAGCCAGACAGGAAACCTGAGGAGACCATCTCCCCTGAGGCTCTGGGCTCAGGTGGATAGAAAACCTGAGGATAACATCATAAAAACATGCACCAGTGGCCTTTGAATACACAAAAGTAGTTGAGATTCATCTTGCTGCCGTGTCAAGTCACTCAGAACACTTGTCCTTTCCTACCAACTTCTTAGTGTCTCAGGTGATAGGGACATCACCGACTTCCCAGCAAGTGGCTGGCTTTATAGGCTACTCCATAGTGTCATGGAGGATTCCAGAGACTAGTGAGAATCTTGGGGAAATGCCAGAGAAGAAATCCCCAAAGCACAGGCTGGTTAAGCTTGTTCAAGGCAGAGGAAAAGGAGAAAGAATCCAATCGGGATGGCTGGCTGTGCAGGAAGCCAGCAGAAGCTGAGGCTGGGGACAATGGGTGGGACCGCCCCGGGTCAGCCTGGGACTCAGGGTTGATGTCAGAGAAGAGATAGTTGGGGAGAGAAAAGATCCAGGCTTAAAGAATGACCCACACAAGTCCCAAGGGAGAATAGAGCTTGGCATCTTTCTGGAACAAATGCAAGGCTAACAGATGCAAGGGTCATGTGGAGACTTTGGGTGAGCACACCGCATTAAGGGAGAGCTGAGACTGGCAAGTGACTGGGGGGGGGGGCCCTAGCGTGAGGCCTAGCATGAGGCTGTGGTTCAGTCCTCCCACACTGGCTGGGCAAACACAGGCAGGCCTCAAACTTTCTGGGGCTCACTGTTACCCACAATGGGGTAATGTGGTCACTCTCAGGAGGACTCCCCCATGGGTAGCAGTAATGGGAAGACTTTGGGGTGAGTTATGAGGTTCCCATCACTGCAAAATTCCTTAGAGTCTGGCTCCTCCAGGAAAGATGTTGAGAGCACGGGGACCCTGGGCTTGGGGGAGGGGAGCAGAACGCTTTCCGCCTCCGACCCTGAGTCTGTGGGCCCCAGTTCTGTCCCTGTCTGTTTCCTGCTCTCACTGAGTGACTTCCAGCTGGCTGCTTCCCCTCTCTGAGCCTCCGTGTGCAAAGGGTGACAGAATTAGCCCGGAGGTCACTGTGGATCCTTCCACCAGCACATTGTCCTTTTACTTCATTCATATATTTACCCCAAGCCTGTCCACAACGGCCATCATCCTGGCATCTGGTGACCCCGTGAGAACCTAGTCTTAGTCTTGGCACAAGACTAAGACTAAGACTAAGACTTGGCACCCATTCCAATCCAAGCGCCTTGGGTAATCATTGTGTTGGTAGACTCTCTGGTTGTCCGGCACGGGGTTATTTTACTTGGTGTCTCAGTGGCTGGCCCCAGCACCAGGACGTTCTCCAGGGCAGCCTCCTCCCACCCCACCACCACCATAAAAGGGCCACCACCACCATGCACCATCCAGGCACCCGGCACCAGAGATGCTTCTCAGCACCCTCCACAACCCGATGAGGTGAGATCCCAACCTCCTCCGATGACACCCTGCAAAGGCTTGGGGGCAGGAGACAGAGGGAGGGTCTCTTGGATTCACTAATGCTGTGAATATAGTGAGTGAAGATGAAGATATTCTTAGGAGAAGGGGAAGTCACTGAGCCAGGTGAGCTCACAACATGGTGCCCATTACTTGCTCACACTTTGGTCAGCGATATTTATTTATTGGCCTGTACCAGGAGCAAGTATTACTGGATCTGGGGTTCCACAGTGAATCAGCCACAGTGCCTCCTCTCAGTTCACCACCTGAGGGAAAGTTAGTCACCTCTTCTCATATTGCAACCAGTTGCAGACCAGACAGCCAAGGCAGGCAGAAGGTGGGTGGGAACCCCCCAACCAGCCACTGGGGAGGGAGCCAGAGTGGGGCTCACAGAGAATGGGATATCCTCTGGGGGTGGAGATTCAGCAGCAAGGGTCTTAGGTACACACAAGAAGAGAAGCAGTAAGGGCTTTAGTGTAGAGACACACTGCGATCAACTGTCATGCAAATCACATTCCTGCAAGCACTTGCATGTTTCTGGGCCAGTTCTCCACTTTCTTTTCCATTTTTTTTTAAGGTTTATTTATTTATGCATACAGAACTGGGTAAAGTCCAGAGGTACAGGGGCAGGGAGAGGATTAAACAGAGACAGAGTGGGGAGCAGAACAGGCAGATCCACAAAGTACACTGCTGAGGGGTGCAGCAGGCGGGTCAGGAGAGGTCTGCCTCACCATGTGGCTCAACTCCAGGCCATGATCGAACTCCCACTGTGGCCACCTCAGCTTGGCTTAGCTTTGCAGTGATGCCCTCCAACCCGCTGTACCACCAGGGAGGGCTCCTTTTAGCCACTTTTTAACCTGGGCTCTCGCATGTAAAACACAGATAACCACATGTCCCTTCGAGGACATCCGCCAGAGAAGAGCCGTGTGCCAAAGACTCTTTACCCTCCTGGGAAGTGCTCACCCCTCTTCCTCCTGTCACTGTGCAGGTGTCAGGTCGTCATGTCTCAGCTTTGGACTCTGGCTCTCCTGTGCGGCCTGCTCACCGGGACCTCAGCCTCTCTCCTTGGGACTCTTGGCAAGGGCTTGAATGATGCTGCACACTCAGTGCATGATGTTCTTGATGGCGCACTGCAGACCGTTGAGAATATTCTTGGGTGTAAGTCCGCATGCTGATGGTGGGTGGCGCCTAGGTACTGCCTCCTACCCAGGGCCTGTGTCCAGACAAGGTCACCAGGGCCTATTCTCTGGGCAGTGATGGGACTTTGCATTCCTGTGTCACGGGCTTGTGAATTTTCTACATATGAGAAATAAATCAGTAATACCTGATGACAGATTTATTATAGTAAACACTTCCCAATAGGAATAGGATACATGACTAACAGTGAGATGTCTAAATCATGCACATTTTTGCATTAGACCAAATATCTCCTGCGCTAACACTCCTGCAGTACTCTGCCAGTGCCTTTTTGACAGTGTTGTTTTGGGCCACTTAATGTTCTGCCCGTGTCGTAGATGAAAGTTTGTGTGTTATTTAATCTTATATTGTTCTGATTATTACAAAATTACTCACTTTTCACATTTTAATAGACATAGACATATCTTAACAGAAATAGTTTGTCATATTCTTCTGTTGCTTTCATTAATTTTCTTATTGACTATTATTTGCTCATTGAAAATTAGGGAAATTCAGTCTACCTTGCCTTGAAGCCGCCTAACTTTGAACTTAATGGCAGGCAGCCTGGTGCCTACAGGCAGCTGGGGTTCTCTCAGAGTCCCCGTCCCCTGTGCATACAGAGCCTCAGGATGACAGAAGTCTGCAAACAACCCTTCCCGCCAGCATGGACTCCTGTCTCTGATAACCTACTACCGTGTTTGCATGTCTCCTAGTAACTAGAAAAGTTGTTCCAGCAGCAACTTAATAATTGGGATAAGCACAAACACACTTGCCTGCTATTTTCTACAACCTTTGTTCCTGTCTCACATAAAAACTTGGAAAAAAAGTGAAAGGCAGAGCTGCACCTTACAGCATCTCCGCAGCCTCCCCTGCAGCATATTCCCTTAGACTCGCATCCTATCGTCGGTAAATCTCTGCTTTCCAAACACCTATTGGGATTTAGGCAATCTTCAAAGATACAGGAGGCATCTGCTGTGAACTCTGAGCTCAGAAACAGAAGTATATGCTTCAGAGTCACCTAAGATGAGGTATAGTCTTCAGTTTAATTTGCAGTTCTCTATTTGAATCATTATAGCTAGATAGATACTGTGCTTTGCATAGCCAAGTTGTAGTCCTAAGATTACGTAGCTTTTCCTGTACTGTTTTTGTTTTTGCTTGAGTTAGCAATTGCTTTATTGTTTCTCACTTGCATTACTTTGTATATGTAGAGCCTTAATTCTTTCACGTCTCTTACTTATCTGCTGAGTACTTTCCTCAAATTCCTCTTTTCTTGGAAAACTCCCATAGGACCCTGTACCAATAAGTGAGCTATTGCCTTAGAGCCTGGAGCAAAGTTGTCACTTTCTTAAGTTGGACCCATATATTTTTATCATCCTAGAGTTTTCCATTTCCTAGGTCAATCTCTCACTTGATTTGACCTAGTTTTTAAAAATATGAACATTGTCTTTAGAACAATAGCCTGTTATATCACTACTAGAATCTGGTGTTCAATCAGTAGCATTTGCCTGATCAGCTGATTGATTACTTTGGGCATGAAGAGAGCATGGAACAGCAAGGTTTCAGAGCTATGTAACATTAGGCACATTTCTTAACTCTTTCATCCTTCATGTCCCCATCTGAAAATTCTGTACTAACAATGTGATATCACTGAGTAGTGAGACACACATGAAATGATATCAAGAAATCGTCATATGTAGTGTGAGATGCATGTAGCTGCTCCACGGTGGGCTGGAGCCTTGAATGCCCTTTGCTTTGCAGCTGACCAAGAGAATCTGGAGCCTGACCTGAAGGCCAGCCAGGATGCCAGCATTTTACAGAAGGTCAAGCAGAGGGTTCTGCAAATTAAGAACTTGGAGAATGTGGATTTACATTTACTTTCACCTGAAGTCCAAGCTTTGGGGTAAGTTGGTATTTCTTGGTAGATAACTGCTCCAAAGGAAGGGAATCTATATTTTGTGGAAGCAAATTGAAGATCAAAGACAGGAAGCTGGGTAACCTGGTGCCTCCCCACACAGCCGTGGCAGCTTGGGGCCAGGTGCTCCAGAACATCAGTAAATAGAGGCAGGGCTGCCCCCACTGGGCATCTCTTGGGTTGGGGACTCCATGTTCGCAGTTTCAGAAGCAGAGGAAAGTTTGTCTTTACTCTCCCGTGACTGCTGGTGCCTGACTATCCTTACCCAAGGAATAAGCTTTTCTTTTTTACATTAGCTGAAGATAAATATCTGAGCACTCACACCCCTCTATTTGCTGAAACTCTGTCCCCCAAGAAAAGGAACCTGACTTTACCCCACACGGTGATTTCCATATATGGAGTAGGTGTCCAAGCTGTGGCTGCGGCACATCCTCCTCCTTGTTTTCTAGGGAGCAAGGGAGGGAAGGAGGGAGGGCAGAGGGAGGCACATCAGGCTGAACCTGCTATACCGTGGAGGGGTCAAACGTGATGGTGAAGACCAAGAAGGCACAGTGGTTGAGGCAGGGTGCTCCATGTGATGGTGACATCAAATGACCTAATGAACCTGACAAGGAGAGTTGTGTTTTTTGTCCAGACTGAAACTCAACGATCTTCAAATCCTGGATATCAAAACAGAAATATCTCCTGACAGCCAAGGCTTGAACCTGATGTTCCCCATAAGGGCCAATGTCAGCATGAATTTGTAAGTGCAGTTATAATCTGGGGCCTGGGGAGAGGCCGTCAGCTCGGCCAGCGCCCTCCAGCTGGAGTCGTGTCCACACCGCACTGCCCATCGACCCTTGTGCTCTCCCCACTCGGGTCCCAGATTTCTCCCTCCTGCTCCCCTGCACAATGTCGATGTAGAGCTGCCTGATGGTTTCATATTTACTTTATTGTAAATATGTATTTGTTATTGTATTTTTTTTTTTGCCAGATTCTTTATTTGACTCCTCTACATTGCTCCTCTAAATGAGACCATTAACTATTTTTCTTTTTCTTTCTGGCTTATTTCACTGAACATAATCCCGTCCAGCTCCATCCATGTGAAGGGCATGAGTTTATCCTTTTTGATTGCTGAGTACATTCCACTGTGTAAATATACCACATCGCCTGATACCGTCATCTATATTAGGGCATTTGGGTTGCTGCCACATCTTCCCCGTTGTACATCGGGCTGCAGTAAATATGGGGGTGCAGGTATTCTTTTGAATCAATGTTTTTGTGTCCTTTGGGTAGATGCCTAGGAGTGGAATTGCTGGGTCATATGAAGCTCCATTCTTAGTAGCCTGAAGAATCTCACGCAACTTTCCACAGTGTTTGGAGCAGTTTGCATTCCCACCAGCAGTGTAAGTGTAGGAGAGCTAATTTATTTGCCACATCCTCCTAACGTTTGTTTCCTGTGTTTTAATATGTGGCATTCTCACTGATGTGAGGTGGTATCTCTTTGTGGTTTTGATTTGCATTTCCCTGAATACAAGTGATTGTGAACATTTTTTCACATGCCTGTTGGCCATTTGCATGCTTTTTCAGAGAAGTGTCTTCTTAGCTCTTCTGCCCATTTTTTACTGGGCTATTGACTTTGTCTTAATTGGGCCTGGTTAGCTCTCTGTAGATCTTTGTCAGAAAAACTAATCAAAATATCAACGAATTTAATAATTAGCAAGATGCAAAGTCGACACACAAAAATCAGTGGCATTCCTCTATGCACATAAACAATCTGAAGAAGAAAACTATTCCTTTTAGAATTGAAACAAAAACATTCAGATATTTGGGAATAAATCTAACAAAAGAGGTGAGAGACCTCTACAATGAAAATTATAAAACTTTGCTAAAACAGATATAAGAACACACAAAGAATAGAGTGAAGGATTCATGGAGTGAAGGATTAGCAGTAAGTATCAAAATGGTCATCCTACCCAAAGCAATTGACAATTTCATTGCTATTCCAATTTAATTATTTTAGGTATTAATGTGATATTACATAAAAATTTCATGTGAACTAAACCCACGAGGCCAAGAGAGGACACCCTCATGCGAGATATGAGGCCCATGTGGAGGGGGACAGTGTCGGCACATCCGATGATGGATGAGACTCACACAGGTGAGGGATGAGTGGGCACAGGAAGTGTTTCTAGAACTGGACTCACTCTGACCCTGACCCCCTACAGGCCTGTCATTGGCCAGTTGATCAACCTGACGTCTTCATTAGACCTCCTGAGCAGTGTCGGAATTGCAAAGGATGACCAGACCGGCCTGCGCACGATGGTCCTAGAAGGATGCGTCGTTGACCCAGACAGTGTCCAGCTGAAACTACAGGGCAGGTAAGGCCCATGCAGCACAGAGCAGCAGATTTGGAAAGAGGGTGACTGAACCCCAAGCAAAGGGCTAGGTTGTGGTCCTTAGGGCCAAGCCTAAAGCTGCCCAAAACTGAAGAAAACACCAGCCCCACGGTAAATGGAGCCACAGGGGCATATTAGGAGACCTGAGTGCTGCTGGCTGCCTCGCAGTCCTGGGGATTCATATTGCCACCTGGGTCTCGGGGTACACCTGAGAGAGGCATTCCTCCCTGCCACACACCCTCCCTGACCTGGGCTTCCTGTTTGGACAGAACCTTCCTGTGGTCATCTGGGTTCCTCTTGCTCTGACCCACCGGCCTCCGCTCCACACATTCTGGCCTTTGTTCTGAGCTGCTCACAAGCTCACCCCCTCCGCACACAGCAGGGACTGTCCTGGGCCAGGAACACCTCCCAGGCACCTCAGCGCAGACCTCAGCCCTCAGGCCTCAGCCCAGCCTCCCTGCTCCCTCTCCTAGGTGTCTTGCTCCTGACAGTTGTCACCGTTTCCTAAGCCATCTGCCTACTTCACTCATTCTTTCAGCCAGAAATGTGTCATGTCTCTGCCATGTCTTGAGCTCTGGGGTGTATTAGTGGCTTCTGGATGGACCCTGCTTGGATGTGGCTTTCCCGTTAGGGGAGACTGAGGTGCGTCCATCCAGCAGCAAAGGACTCTGAGGACAGTGGAGGCCGTGAACGTGAGACAGGGCCACGTAGCAGGGCCTAGCGTACGAGGCCTCCTTAGAGGGCAGCCAGAGAGGGCCAGTAGCTGAGAGGCCGAGGCGGAGGGGGCAGCCCAGCAAGACCAGTCTCCTGTGCAGGTAGCAGGTGAGGAGCTGCTGTGCTTTGCTGTCTCTGAGTCTC